TCGATTTGAAGCATTGGCACAGAATGCAAGCTACTAGCTTTTTATGTGCTTCATGTTCTTGAGGATCTTGCTGTGCTGCAAGGTGGTGGTACGTGGAAACAAAGATTCATTGTCTTCCAGTTTTGTTTGGAAAATCGTTTCGACATGGTTTTTGTCCTAGTTGGAGATGATACCCTGGTTCTTGCTCTGTAGATTTGGTATGTCCTGATAAAGAAGTTAACTAATTCACCCTGTGAAGCACTGGAGTCAAGCCTTGTCAATTTTGGCCCACAATATCTTCTCTAAAAGTCTAGATTAACCTCAGTGATAAATAAAATACATGTAGATTTTGGTAGTAATTTCCACAGGCTTACACTTAAATATTTACTTTTATCATACATATAAGATAGTAAAACTAATTGTGAAATATGCTCTAATAGAGGTGCAAAAACACCAGCGATAGCAATGGTTTTGACACGATAGTTTCTCTACTGACGTCACTGCTCTATTGTGTTTTGGACACAAGATCAAAACGATTGAATGATCGTTCCCTTACACAGAAGATTTAGCATTATTCGTTCCAAACACTACTCTTTTTTTTTTTTTGAAAACCAGGACTTATTGTTAAACACTACTCCCTCCGTCCCACAATATAAGACGTAGCTTGCAAAAATGTCTTATATTATGGGACGGAGGGAGTACATCCTAAATGGTTATGCGTTTGATAGATTCCATCGCCTGAAATTAAAATAGAATTTCATTTTGCTTACTATATGCTGACATAAAAACCAGTGCTCATTTACTGCTTCACTATGCCTTGCTCAGCTGCTGAATCCGTGAAGATGGAAAGCAGAAAATTTGTTAGTCTTTATATACATATATAACGATATTTTAGCTGAGTTACCGGTTAATCTGTAGTTTATTTTTTTAACTTAAATTGTAATAGCGTACATATTTATGGAAATACAACCCCACCCCCCGCGCGCAAACCTAAATTTAGTCACTGCGTGCATTTAGTGCATCATTTTATTTATAGGTTAATGTTATAGTCTCTAGAGGCTTCCTTGTTGGTACGCATATAATGGCTACAACATGTGGTAAAGCATATTGTATAACTGTAGTTTAGTTATATACGTGTACTCCTTGGTGTGGAAGCTTTGTTGCTTTATTAGGTTTGCATATGCTCCATTCAGTTCTAACAAACGGAATGGTCTGCTTGTGATCGCTAACACTTGTACTCACATAATATACAAGTGCCATCTAATTTATGAATCACATAACTTTTTGAACATGAATGTACCAGTAATTAATATAACTAGATCAGTGGCCTTGTGCAATTCGGTGTTCAAATCCATGGTTGACTGCACCAAATATCAGCTGGTTTAAGCATCTAAAGTTAATTTGCCTGCATGTTGTGGTAAAACTGTACTTGTTAGTGGTTTTGAATGTGTATGCTCTGGATAAAAACAGATTTATTCATCATAAGGTGTACTACGTTATTTTGATGGGTGTACTGGGGTAATATATTTGCATTATGTTTCTCAGTAATCATGATATGGCATCACACATTTCCTTTGTCTCTTTGACAAGAAAAGCATAATGCTGAGTCTTTGCGATGTACCCCTCCGTTCACAAATATAAGTTTTTTTTTGGGTACTTCAATATGGACTACATACGGGCTGAAATGTTTGAAATCTTATATTTTGTGAATGGAGGTTGTATATTTTTATAAAAGCAAAGAAACAACTTGCATAAGTGCACCCTGTGTTAGGATTAACTTGATTTTAATCTTGAAATACTGAATGATCGGCGATGTAATTTCATGTTTGCTTCAAAATGAGGCATCAAAGATGAATAACTCTGGAATGCCACCTTTTCTCATGTATTTTTCCCTCAAGAAAAAAGTAGTATGAAAATACTGATTGATCCCTCTTCATCTTTTCGATGTTCTTTTGCATCTTATCAAAAATATGTGCAAGTCTTCAGGGGTCAATTAATGTTTGTAATTGGCTACATTAAGCTGACATATGCTGTTGGACAGGTGCATTGACTCAAACGTACATTAAGCTGAAGACGTGAAGTTTTCACTTGTCACATGCAAAGGTACATAAGACCATGGAGGTTTCTCCGACTCTGCTAGGATCTCTTTGGGAATGAATTACACTATGAACCACTGCCCACCATATTTGGTTTACTTTCTTGAAATGCAGGTCACCGCTTGACCCCAGACGAGCTCTATCCATAACAAACAACGTTCTCATCAATCGGCAGAGATACGAGTCTGATTTACTGTCAAAGATGGAAGGTTGCGAGACTTAATGGTATTATTATGCTATAGTATAGCTGTGCCATCAGACATCCAACTTTTTATCTCTATGTATTTTGGTCACTTCGCAATAGTCTAAACTAACTACTTCCGTTATTCAATTAAAACTTCAAGTTTCAAGTTTGAAAAGATAAGTCACAGTGAAAGGGCTGTAGGGGTTGAACCGGAACTGGAATGTTATACGCGGTATACTATAGACACAAAGGTTGCTAAAAAACTGGAAATTAAAGGGATAAAATATCCCCAGGTATGCTCACGGGATGAAAAAAAAATGCAGAGTAAACAGATCATCCCACGATTATTCAAGTTTTTTTTTTGCGGGTCATGATTATTGAAGTTTCTTCTTTGTGAATTTTTTTTGATCTATTCATCAACGGATACCATAAATAATAAAAATTACATATAGATCCGTAGACCACCTAGCGACAACTAAAAGCATGCCGTCATCGCCTCTTTATCGCCGTAGTCGGGCACAATCCATCAAAGATAAGGCCACCAGAGGAGGCAAGGCGGACCTGCGGCGGCATTGGTGGGAGGCAGAAACCCTAACTTTTTTGTGGAGAAGGCGGCGGCTAGAAAAGCTTCCGTGCGGCACGCTCTGTTTGCCTGGCTGGCTAATGCGCCACGATTATTGAAGTTGCTATTGTATCCAAATCAAAGTTGCCACATGATGATTTTGATACTAACAATACTTCATAAAAATCAGGACTTTAAAAACGATTTTCTTTATCGAACCATGAGACTTTAGTTTCGATGATCTTGCCGAAATATTGTATAGTATGTCTGAGTAGCGGCTTTTTTTTTGAGGGTCAAGTTGCCGCTTTATTTAACTTATTACGAAGTTCGGAATCTCATCCGACAAAACAAAAAGAACAAAATCCGGGGGGAGCCCCCAACCAGAGCTTACAGAGTTCATCACCCACTCCTACTATAGCTAACTTATGCGCGGCAACATTCGTAGACCGTCGAACCCATGAAACCTTACAGTCCTCTAAAGATCTCAGCATGGTCTTTATCTCCTCCACCAAAGGCCCTGACACCGATAGCTCCCTTGCTTGATTCCGCAGCATCTGTACCACTCGTTGGGAGTCTAGCTCAACATGAACTGTTCGGACATTGATATCAGCCGCCACCTCAAGAGATCGCCTACAAGCCATAAGTTCTGCTACCTCGGGATCGGAGACGCCGGCGAAGAGATGACACACACCTGCTCTGAATGCCCCCATATGGTCCCGTAGTACAGCTCCTCCGCCTGCCTTGTCCCCCGTTTTTGAAGTAGCTCCATCTGAATTCACCTTGATCCACCCATCAACCGGTGGTTCCCATGGCTGTGAAGGATGGTGGGTCGGAACGCTACTTAAAGTAGGGTGAACCAACCTCCATTCCTCCCTTTGCTTCAACACCGTGGCTAGTATTTCATGTGGGGCCTTGATTCTCTTTCCGTCACGCGCCTCATTCCTGGCAAGCCAAATACTATACAACGCATGCACCATTGCCTGTTTTGCTTCATTGGATGCATCCGCTAGCCATTGTAATAGCCAGCGTGCGACTTCTCCCTGGGAGTCAATCTGACATGGTGGGATCGCCACCATATCTCCCATCTCCGAGCGAAATCGCTTCCAGAAATCTGCAGACTGTTGACACGCCCAAAACCGATGAACTATGGTCTCCTCACGACCACAAGCAACACAAAAAACCCCAGGCTTAATCCTTCTCCGATGTAGTTCTGACCCGACTGCCAGTCTGTTTGAAACTAACCTCCAAAGATGAATCTTTGCCTTCCCTGGAGCGTTCGTGTCCCACAGTGCCAAATACCCCTTGTGTTGTTCACTGAGCTGGAAGACCCCGGCCGTCCGGATCTCGCTCTGGACAAAGCCATTCTCAGATGATAGGCGGATCGAACAGTAAAAACTCCATTTTTCGTATGGTTCCACGCTTGATAGTCATCAACCCCGATTCCGCCCACCACAATCTTTAGAATGTCGTTGGCATCATCCGGGGAGAACATTTGCAGGACCTTCTCTTGGTTCCAAGATTTCCCATCAGCCCGAAGAAGATCAGCTACCCTCGTAACCCCCGGCAAGTAAAGTTGACCAAGTGGCTTCATCGATCCCGGTCTCAGTATCCAGTTGCTGTGGTGTATATTGACCTTGGAGCCGTCTCCAATGCGCCATAGAAGCCCTTCTCTGAGTAGATCTCTTCCATGCAGGATACTTCTGAAAGTATACGAGGCATTCGAAGGGCACGTTGCACTCAAGATGGTCTCAGTCCCTAAAATAACGCGCCTTCAACACTCTGGCCACCAAAGACTCCGGGCATTGCAGCACTCGCCAAGCTTGTTTCGCTAGTAGGGCCTGATTGAATGCTACCAGGTCACGGAATCATATCAAAGTTTTCGAAATACTCCTACGTTATCGTTTTTGTCACTCTATATACGTTGGAGCTATATTCCAGTCTCTAAAAGATCACGTGCAAAACAACTTCTCTTGGTTCTCCTCGAATTGTGACATAAAAATAGTCCACCATCTATTTGGGCGTAGCTGCCTCAACCTTTCCGTCCCGTTCTTGCCTAGCCAGTTCTCTCGTGCCTCCATTGCGTGGCCGGGAGGGCGACGTCGCCAGCCAGCCAGCGCTGCCAGCGACCTCGCTCGGCTCGGCCCGGCCCGGCCGACTGGAACGCACGGGAGACGTGACCATGGGCACGATGGGACACCACCAGCGGTCGCGCTCCGCCTCCGGGAGCCCCTCGGCGACGCGCTCATCAAACGCCACCGAGCTTGACTTCGCCGCCGCCGACCTAGAGTGCCCCTTCGGCGGCATCGATGCCCTCGGCGCCGTGGAGCTCCGTGAGACGGCGTACGAGATTTTCTTCATGTCCTGCCGCTCCTCCGGCGGCGCGTCGGAGGGGGAGGTGTCGTCACCGGTGGCCGGTGCGGGGGCGAGGGGCGGGAGCGCCGTTATGAGCAGCAAGGTGAAGAAGGCGCTGGGGCTCAAGCCGAGGCGGTCCGCGCCGACGACGGTGCGCACCTCGAGCCAGAATTCAGGCCCGGTCTCTCCCGGCCGAACACGGCGACCGATGACGTCGGCGGAGATTATGCGGCAACAGATGCGGGTGACCGAGCAGAGCGACGCGCGGCTCCGCCGAACGCTCATGCGGGCCGTCGTCGGACAGGTCCAAGTACGCACCCATGCATGCATGCATGATTTTCGCTCGCATCCATGCACGTTCCCATGGTCGGTCGTAGTACGTATTATCTATCCATTTATTTGCACAGGTTGGGAAGAGGCCTGATTCCATCGTCCTGCCATTGGAGCTACTCCGGCAGCTAAAGCCGTCCGAGTTCACCGACGGCGAGGAGTACCACCAGTGGCAGTTCCGGCAGATCAAGCTCCTAGAGGCAGGCCTCATCCTGCACCCGTCCCTCCCGCTCGACCGCCTCCACGCCGCCGTGCTCCGTTTCCGCGAGGTGATGCGCGCCACCGAGATCCGCGCCATCGACACGGGCAAGGGCTCCGACGCGATGCGGGTCCTGAACAACGCCGTGCACGCGCTCGCGTGGCGCCCCGGCAGCGGCAGCGACGCGTGCCACTGGGCCGACGGCTACCCGCTCAACGTGCTCCTCTACGTGTCCCTCCTCCAGACCGTCTTCGACCACAGGGAGCACACCGTGGTGCTAGACGAGGTGGACGAGCTGCTGGAGCTCATCAAGAAGACGTGGCCGATCCTGGGCGTCGGCAGGGCGCTGCACAACGTGTGCTTCGCCTGGGTCTTCTTCCAGCAGTACGTGGTGACCGAGCAGGCCGAGCCGGACCTGGCGTCCGCGACTCTCGCCCTGCTCGCCGACGTGGCGGCCGACGCCAAGCAGGGCAGCCGCGAGTCCCAGTCCCGTGACCCGGTGTACACCAAGGTGCTCCTCAGCGTGCTCGGCAAGATGCAGGAGTGGTCGGAGAAGCGGCTGCTGGACTACCACGACAGGTACGAGAAAGGCATCGGCGGGACTGCCATGGAGATATTGCTGTCCTTGGCGCTTGCCGCCGGCAAGATCGTCGCCGACCGCGAATACGCGGGCACCGGGAACTTCGCCGCCGACCGCGTCGACTACTACATCAGGTGTTCGATGAAGAACATCTTCACCAAAGTGAGCGCATGCATGCTTCATCAGTCAGATAGGAAAAGCACAAAACATTATCAAGCGAGCAGTCCGCCACGATTTGATGGACATGATTTGATTCCAGATACTCGAGAATGGCATGGCAGAGGCAGACCCCGCAGACGACCCCGGCGTGGTCCTGACGCAGCTGGCGAGGGACGCGGAGCAGCTGGCCATGTTCGAGCGCGCCAACTTCAGCCCGCTGCTGAGGCGGTTGCACCCGGCCCCCATAGCGGTCGCCGCAGTCACCCTGCACGGCTGCTTCGGCGTGGTGCTGAGAGAGTACCTGAGCAAGGTCACCATCCTGACGGAGGAGCTCGTCCGCGTGCTCCACTCGGCGAATCGCCTGGAGAAGGCCCTGGCGCAGATGACCGCCGAAGACGCGGCGGACTGCGACGACGACCGGGCAAAGGCCGTCGTCGGCGACATGGAGCCCTACGAGGTGGAGTCAGTGGTGATGGGCTTGCTCAAGGCTTGGATGGACGACAGACTTCGGATCGGCAGCGACTGCATCCTCAGAGCCAAAGAAACCGAGGTACACTTCCATCTCTGGTGGATGAAGTGAAGCTGGAATTCCTAGAGCTTGACATTGTTTTTGTAGAGCTGGATTCCCAAGTCCAAGGAGGAGCCTTTCCCCGCGTCGGCAATAGAGCTGATGAGGCTGTCCAGGGCGACCATCGACGAGTTCTCTGACATTCCGGCCACCGCAAAAGACGACGTGGTTCAGGCGCTCGTCGACGGCCTCGACTCAACCTTTCAAGACTACATCTCCTTCGTCGCATCATGTGGTACACGATCCGATCAAACTCAATCCCGTTAAATAAACTTAGCATGGAGGCCATCATCGATCGATCGATAGACTTGTTTCAATCCAAATGCAGGGTCGAAGCAGAGCTACGTCCCTCCCCTCCCGGCGCTGACGAGGTGCAACCAGGACTCGGGCTTCTTCCGGCTGTGGAAGAAGGCGGTGCTGCCGTCGTGCCAAGCGCCGGAGGCCAACCCGCGCGGCAGCGCCTCGCAGCACACCCCGCGGCCATCCATAAGCCGCGGCACGCAGCGCATCTACGTCCGCCTCAACACGCTCCACTACGTCCTCACCCACGTCCAGGCCATCGACGAGTCGCTCTCGTCACTCTCCTCTGCCTCCGGCGGTAACCGGGTGGCAGCGTTCGACCGCACCCGCGCCGCGGCCCAGTCGGCGGTGTCGCGCGTCGCCGAGGTGGCCGCGTTCCGGCTCATCTTCCTCGACTCGCGCCACTCCTTCTACCAGGGCCTGTACGTCCGCAACGTCGTCGACACACGCATCCGACCGGTGCTCCGCGCGCTCAAGCAGAACCTGTCGTTCCTTGTGTCCGTGCTCGTTGACCACGCGCAGCCGGTGGCCGTGCGGGAGGTGATGAAGGCCTCGTTCCAGGCGTTCCTGATGGTCCTCCTCGCCGGCGGCAACGACCGGAGCTTCACGAGGGCGGACCACGGGATGGTGGAGGAGGACTTCCGGAGCCTGAAGCGCGCCTTCTGCACGTGCGGCGAGGGCCTGGTCCCCGAGGACGTGGTGGTGCAGGAGGCGGAGGCCGCAGAGGGCGTCGTTGAGCTCATGGCTCGGCCGACGGAGCAACTCATCGCGGCGTTCGGCGCCGCCACGTCGGAGTCCATCGCGGGCGTGCGAGAATACGAGGACTCGGACGGCGGCGCGACCCTCGTGCCGCCGACGGCGAGGCAGTGGGGCCCCGCGGATCCAAACACCATCCTCCGCGTGTTGTGCCACCGCGACGACGAGGCCGCCAACCAGTTCTTGAAGCGCACGTTCCAGCTCGCCAAGCGGCGGTGATGTCGGCCAAATGCTCCACCAATGAGCCTAGGTGCTACACATTTTTTAGTCCCATCACTGCAACGACCCGTTGCGGCTACGTGGGCTATACCTGTGCCGGCCAAGTGAGCGGCTCATGTAATATGTTCTGGTGTGAGTGTGCCCTGTTAATAAATAGCCGTTGCTAGCGTCAGGGTTGAGGATCATGTACTGTCAACTTCACTGTATCTGTTCCCTGCTCGGGATCTCTCTAATCTTCTTCCTCCCCAAGTTACTCTACCCTTGTGTTTTATGAACCAAGACCTAGCTTGACGCCGGAGAGTGCACCTGGTCGGTAGGTATCTACAACCAGTGGTAGAGCATGGAAAATCGAATGAGGGGGCTAAGTGTTGGTAAGCCTTGTTGGGGAGGGGCAATCCAGCAAAATACACAATTTTAGCAGCAAAAAGTCACTGTTCATATTAATACTAGGCTTAAATCAATAATGTTAGGGGGGGCTAGGTGATGCGGAGCATCCTACGGACATCACCATGTCAAGAGTTCATTTCGCAAGTGACGCGTGCGACATCTACTTCACATACACAAAGGTGAATCATCTCCTTTACACGTGCTCACTTGACACTCTCGAGGATGGTATACTACTTGACACTCCTTCCGCGTGCATGCATAGGTATTGTCGGAACATCACGGATGTCGAGGAGGAGTGCGAGCGCAAGTGTACGTCTACACCATCCGCGAGGGAAGCATGGAAGAGAAGACGGAAGAAAGGAGAAGAAGACGGAGCAGCGGCTGAAGCTAGCCCGGACGTCCGGACCGCCGTCCGGATCATCCGGACCCAGCCGGATCATCCGGGCCCCCCTCCGGATCATCCGGATAACCGTGCTGAGGATACCTGAAGGTTTCTCCTGAAGCCGGATCATCCGGGCCCCCTCCCGGATCATCCGGACCCCCATCCGGATCATCCGGGCCTTGCCTGCGTGCAACGTTTCGGGCTGAGCCCCATGTACCCATTCGCCCCCTCACTTACCCCATCGTCCATTAGACTATAAATAGACCTCCTCCACCTTCTTTCTAGAGGAAGCAAAGTGATAGCTCATTTGTATGTGAGCTTTGCTCCTACCTATCTCTACTCTTGAGAGAGAGAGACCCCTACTCCATTGGAGGCCAAGACCTCCATCTAGGAGAAGATCATGCAAGATATCATCAAGACCCCCTCGTGGAAAGATCCGTCTAGGATATCATCAAGACCTCCTTTTGGAGACGAACTTTACCTTGTATCTTTCTTTTTGTTGTTCATGTACCTTGTGGATCTTATGTGTTTGATTGTCTAGTGGATGTGTGATTGGACTTGTTCTTGAGTGTTTCCCCTTGTGATTTCTCTCGTTCTTCCCCGTGTTCTTCGTGTTACTCGTAGGGATCCGCTCCAATCGTGAAAAATCGGGCCTCTAGGGTTCTACCCTACATCATCTTGGTATCATGAGCCACGTTGATCACGTTTTTGGAGCCCCTACCCCGTGTGTTCTAGCTTGATTTTGTTGATTTCGTCCTTAATCCGAAAATCCCCACCAAAAATAGCCCCCAATTTTTTTTGTGATTTGTTGGTTTTGATGATGTTTTGTTGATTTTGATCCGTGGATTTGCTTGGTTTCGAGTGGATCTAGCATCTCCCCAAGTTCGCCCCCGAGAGGAAATCCCGAGCAGAGTTGACCTGCCCGGATCATTCGGACTTGCTCCTGGATCATCCGGACATCCCCCGGATCAGCTGGACGCCCCCCGGACGTCCGGATAACCCACGCACCCGAATACCCGTACCGGAGCTGATGAACCCGAATCATCCGGAAGTACTCCCGAATCACCCGGACCAAGCCCGGATCATCCGGACCTCCACCCGGATGTCCGGCTAACCCTGAAACTGACTCGGCTGAAATTTTGTTTTGGTCATAACTAATTCATCCGAAGTCCGTTTTTGACGTTCTTTAGCTCGTTTTGAAGCTATTAACATCCCCCATCCCACAAAAATACCACCAACATCACTTGACTCCATCAAAGTTTTGGAACTTTGGCACCTTTGCCTAGGGCCACCACCATATCATTCGCATTACCACCACCGACTTCCGCAACCTAACCCATTTTGATCCCCATTGCATTAGTGGTTGCTTGAGTAGTGATTCGAGTCTCCTAAGATGTTTCGGCTACCTAGGGACAGTTCCTTCTTCATCAACCACCACCATCACTTCCGCATAACCTTGCCCACCATACATTTCGCCAATCCAACTTAACCCAATTGTTGTTTGAGCTTGTTTGAGTTGTGGCTTGTGTCTCCTAAGGTGTTTCAGCTACTTAGGGATGGCAACTTCAACTCCGACATGTGTATAGCCCATCATTCCACTTCTGCATTGCCGAGTGCAAACCTCCACCACTTTCCGCTACCACCATTTGACATTTGCCTTTGGAGATTTTGAGTTTGCGGTTTTTTTTGTTTCCTAGGGTGTTTCGGCTAACTAGGAACGGGTCGACATCGGCAACACCACCTCTCATCATCACCAAGGACGGTAACCTCGACGACACCATTGTATATTCCCCTTGCCATTGCATTGATAACCCCTAGCCCATTTTGCGTTACTTGCCTATCGAGACTAGCCATTGAGTATTGCCGGCAACGTTACTTGTGCACATTAGTGGTCCGTACCTTCCATTGCATACATACCATATCACATTGGTATCATCATATCATCTCTTGTGTCACAAGATTGTTCCCGCATATACACAATTGCTATCTTGATTTGTGCATTGTGCAAAAGTGGCCATACAAAAAAAAGAAATAAAGCTTTTAAGCAAAAGAAAGGGAGCAAAGAAGCTTGTAAGCAAGTGCCATAGCATCATACCACATTGCATATAAGATTGTCATATCCGATCAGCTTGGATCATCTTGAGAGAAACACCGGGAACCATACATACATAGCATACTTGGGATAAAAGTCCATATATTTTGCATATCATAGGTTGTGCACAAGTGTCGTATCCGCCTATAGAGCAATCGTGCTAGCGTCTCTCTTGAGTTGTGCAACACGAGCTTTTTCTGTGGATTCCACATTTTGTGCTCATTCCTTGGTTGCATGACCCCATTTATCTATCCGTGTGTGTGTTTCCGTGTGCCACATATTGCTATTGGTCTACTTGTTTCGCTTGCGATTTTGTGAATCTCTTTCAACATTATTGACTCTTGCTAACATTTTGCATCAAATTTTTGTGCCACTATACTCACCGAGCTCCACCATAAGCTTTACTTGATAGGTGTGAGTGAACAAGTCCGGTACCAATTCCACTATTCTTTCATTTCACATTGAGTGAAGCGAGATACATCCTCAACTTTGGGAAAAGATAACTTGGTATTGTTTATCTTATTTCCTACTCACCTCTACTCGAGTCTTGTGATGGATAGGCAAGGCTTTCACCTTCAGTCTACAACAACAACGACGAGTTCGATGCCACAAACAACAACTCCGACGCCAAGATGCAAGCTCAAATGGAGGAGATCAAATCCCTCATCAAGTCCTACAAGCAATCTTCCTCATCTTCGAGAAGACGCTCAAGAGCACATGCTTCCGAGCTACCATCTCCGGCAAGATCACATCGGCATCGACACCATCACCAACAAGAACGTGAAGGTCAAGAGCTCTACACCAATAACCGCTCAAATACTTCATCATCTCCCTTGGCATCTTCGCCAAGCGATTTAAAGGCATCTTTGCCTACGGACATACGACATCTTCGCCAACAAGCACCCCAAGACTACGCTCAAGAGAAGCTCCCCAAGCTCAAGTCCGTGACTTCCATGAGCTACTACGACCTCGACACCGACCACGAGATTCCTTTCTATGGGACTCAAGAACCCGAGGAGTATCTCTAGTGGGAGCGCTTGATGGACGACTACCTCAAGCTACATCAAGTTCGTCCCGAAGATCAAGTGAAGTGCGCCACAAGAAACTTCCACGACTACGCATCGACATGGTGGCTTCACACACCTTCGGAGATCTACGAGATGAGTTGGCCCAAGACGAAGAGAGCTTTGCGGGAGAGTTCGTGCCTCCAACCTACACGGAACAACTTCGACGCCAATTGGAGAACACCATCCAAGGATCCAAGTCCATCGACAAGTACTTCAAGGAGATGAAGATTGCCTTGTGACGAGCCGGCGTGGACGACCCCATTTCGATGAAGTTCCACTTCATGATGGGGTTGAACAACGACATCTCCAAGACTATCTTCCTCGAGAACTACAAGTCCCTCGACGACTACTACATTGGTGCTGTCAAGGCGGAACAAGAACTCATGAAGGCCAATGCTTCTCCTCCCCAAGCTCACTTCGCAACGACCAAGCTCCATGAGAACGAGCATGAGGATAGTACCACCAAGATGTCCAAGCCCAACGAGCTCCAAGATGATGCTCCCAAGTTCGACTTCACCGCCATCCCTCTTTGTGGCATTGATGATGCCGAGTCTACTTCGACTCTTTTTCAAGACGGTGCGGCGACGAGTACGACTATGGAGACCCTCAAGGACCAAGCTTTGGAGGCGAGCGACAAGGTGGCGAGCAAGGATGATGCTTTCATCTTTGGAGGCAAGAGCGATGATGTGCCATCTTCGGCCTTCATCCACGACGACGATGACGAGATGATTGAGCATGGGATTTTCCCTTCGGCCATGGAGGAGAGTGATGATGTGCCATCTTCGGCCTTCATCCACGGCGACGACGACGAGATGGTTGAGCATGGGATTCTTTCTTCGACCACGGCGATGTATGATGACTTGAGTGACTTTTGCCACCATATTGAGAGTGAGAGTGACTTCACCACTAGCCCCATATATGACGAGTTGCCCCAATTCCCATGTGAGGAGAGCCACAACCCCCACCACTTGAGTGAGATGAGTGACTCCACCATATGCGACTTTGAGTGCACCTATTTTGAGGGAGTGAGTGAACCACCACATAGAGAGAGTGTGATAGTTGATAGGTCTCG